CAAAATATGAAAAGTTAAGGAATGATCATTAAGTAAGGACTATGAGTTTAAGTTATATATGAAATTCAGTTCCTTAAGTGATTTTGAGGATGCAATAATAAAGTGGTTTGTTTTAATTGTAAAGGAAATTACATTTGTCAATAATGAAAGTTATAGGGTCAGTGTATAATGTTAGGGCAAATGTGGTTTTTTGGCTCTATGCTCTAAAGTGGGTGGCAGACGTACTTTTCAAATAAAAACCTAGGTGGGCACTCACATTTGTGTTATACTTTTGAATAATATAACTGCAAAGTTCAAGTGGGTTGCAAAGGTTGTGGTGAACAAAATGCAGACATGTGAGAAGGTTAAAATTTGTGACATCATTCAAGACATGAGGAAGAAGTACTCAGTTGGGATTACTCCAAGCAAGGCATGGAATTCCAAGGAGATATCAAAGGGAATTTTTTAAGTAGATGTTGCTAGACAATATTCGTTGATTTAGAGGCATGCAACTGAGTTGAAAAGTCTACATTCTAAGAATAATGCTATAATTATTATGGAGAGGTGATGGACAATTCTAGCAAGTGTACTAGTCTCGTCGAAGTAATAAATTAAATTTGTCTCCATAAGGATTGTGAATTTGAACAAGGTAATGATAGTGCAAATTAAAGTAAATAACAAATGGGGTTTTCAATATTACTTTAATACTAAATAAGAACGAGAAATTTTACAAAATAAAATTCAATGATTAAAGGCGATTATATTTTCTTTCAACTCCCTTACTTATACATTTTAATGAATTATGTATTAACTTAATCACTCACATGCTAAATTCATACGAAGAATTAACAAGGCCACTGGACCCAATTTCTTGGTGTATAACTCACTAATTTACACAATAATTCTCTAATTCCTTAGGCCAATTTTGAGTTAAACTAGGCATTTTAAGTTCGTTTATTCAAAAGTCACAACTTCTAATTACCTATCCCTAGTTAATTACAAAGTTGAATAATTTCCAAAGTTCCAAAAATTAATAAGTCCCAAATCTTATTCGACCCAAGACTCATACCACGTACACGTCATTCGCGCATGTCTACTTTTGTCCTTAGCTGAGTTTTTTTTACCCTTGTCGAAAATCCCAAATAACACGTACGCGCATGAGATACGTGGAAGACATCACCACAATAATGTTTCACCAGCACAAAACATATTTAATGTGCATGTTCCCCATGCTAACTACTCCTACTAAACACCACCACAAATTGCATTCTCTGTGGTGCACATTTTCAACGAGTTGTTTCTCTCAACTATTTAGATTCCTAAGAGGATCTCACTTATCTTTACATCAAGAATCCTTATATTAATGATGATAGCAAAGACTTAGGGGCAATTGTTTCGGGTTGACCAACAACCCATAAAGACTGACCAAATCCAATTAAGGCGTGCCAATCACTAGCGTACATGTGGATATGCATCTATTGACACTGCATATGAACATGTTCCTCCTTCCATCAGGATAGCTGATGTACATCCAACGACTGACTACGCTCCATGTCAAATAACCCAAAGATAGTTGTAACCATACTTATCATATAAATGTGACTCTGTGTCACACTCAAATTCAATTTGACTCATACTTAACGTCTGTTTGGTTTTTAGTTTTGCACAATAAACTAACGTCTACCACAAAAAAACATGGGACCATCTTTTTTCATTAATGTTTGGGTAAAACCAAAATCAATTTTTCTGATTTTCTTTTCATCCTAAACGTGATTTTATTTGGAAGTAAGAAATTGGAGCTTACACATCAGCGTTTGACAATGTAAAACATTAAATTTTTTGTGACATGTACACTTACTAAATTACCCATAACTTCTTCTCTAATATCCCACCCAAAAACAGGTTTTCTTCTCTTCTTCATTACTATTTCATTACTACACATCACTTCAAGATTGAATTTTGTCTACTGTGAAACAATTCTTTTTCTTCTTTTTTGCAGATCTTGTAAATTTATTGCATATCTCTTTAATTTACTACATAGCTCTTTTTATTAGTGGTAGAGATAATGTTTGTTGGTTGAATTTATTGCATATTTCCTATTCTTCATATATATATAGTGACTAAAGAAGAGTACGTTTGGACACCATCTTGTGGAATATTACTTAAGGTTCATTTGGGTAATGAAGATGATGAAGATGTTGACTTGGATATGGAAGAAGGTTCTGGTGATAGTGAAGATGCAAGTGTTGGAGCAAACATTTGAATTTGCAAATATTAATTTGAATACGTCACAAGGCATTGTTAGCCAAAGTAGTGGACAAAAGAGAAAGAGAACTAGTGGTGCTGAAAAGAAAGGAAGGAAAAAATCAACTCCTTCAACAACAATAGGTGATGCTATTAATGTAATTGCAGAGACCTGTAAGTCACGAAATAAAGCCATAAATAATTCATCTATTGGTAAAGTGATGGGTAAGATCCAAAACATGGATGAAGTTACAAATGATTTAGAATTTCATACAATGTTGTATCAACTAATGATGTTTAATCCAACACGTGAAATGTTTATATCACTGCGAGGTTTTGAGGATAGGATGTTGAATTGGCTTAAGTTTACAACAAACAACCCTATACCATTTATGAAGATGTAACTGATCTTGCTTATGTATTAAATATTGCTTTAATGATGTCTTTTAGAGTTCATGTTTATGTATTATGACTTTGAAATTTCAATGAAGTTATCTTATATTTATGTAGTTTTGTTATATGGTTTTATGTATATGTAATTATGTTATATGGTTACAGTAACATATGGTTCTAACAGGTTATCCTAGTTACATTATCTTTGACTCTAACAACTTGCTCTCTTATAACAAGTTGTCATTTATAAAAATGGATGTTTGGAATGAACATTTGGAATATAATACACAAGATCATGCATGGGTTAAAGAAATATTACAAGGGAATCCCTCATGTTGTTATGAGATGTTTCGAACGAAAAAAATATGTATTTTATAAATTCTGCACTGAATTAATGGAATATGGATTAAAGTTATATAGACGTACGAGGATTGAAGAAATGGTTGCAATGTTTTTAGTCGTTGCAAGCCACAAAGTAGGTAATAGAATGATTTAAGAAAGGTTTCGACACTCAGGTGAGACTGTAAGTAGATATTTTCACCGGGTACTTCATGTTTGTCTTAAGTTGTCTTTCAAATATGTTAAACCTGAAGATCCTATGTTTCTTGAATGTCATGCAAAAATAAAAAATGATCAACGTTATTGGCCATTTTTTAAGAATGTTATAGGAGCAATTGATGGTACACTTGTGTCATGTGTAGTGAGTGTCAGTGAGCAAACCAAATTTATTGGAAGAAAAAGATATCCAATGCAAAATATAATGGTTGTATGTGATTGGAATATGTGTTTAACTTTTGTATTAGCTGGTTGGGAAGACACTGTACATGATGCTCATGTTTTTTATCAGGCCCTTACAAATACGAACATACATTTTCCACGTCCATCTTTAGGTATTTTCTTATTTGTTGATATAAATTCGTTATGTTAATAATATTTCACTTTACATTATAACAATTACTTTATTTTTAGGTAAGTATTATTTGGTAGATTCTGGCTATCCAACACTAAAAGGATACATTGGTCTCTATAGATGTGAACGTTACCACCTTCCAGATTTTATACGTTCAAGTGGATTTGAAAATCATAACAAAGTATTTAATTATTATCACTCAAGTTTAAAGTGCATGGTAGAAAGAACTTTTGGAGTATGGAAGAACATATTTGCCATCTTGCGTTGCATGCCTAAATTTAAATATGAAACACAAGTTCAAATTGTTGACGCAACAATGACAATACATAATTTTATTAGAAGGAATGCTCAAATGGATAATGATTTTAATATGTATGAAGACGAAAACACGATCACTCACCATGATGATTATCATAGATCAATTAACTTGGATCCATCGTAGAGTTTCAGTGTAGCTTCTTCATCAGAGATGGATCATATTCGAGACTCAATTCGTGATCAAATTATAGAGTATAAGCTAAATAGTTAGTTTGTGATTCTATTTTAATATTATAATACATTTTAAATTATATTATCAATTTGTAATTTTTATTTATTTATTTTATATTTAATTATTATGTTAATTTAATTTTTTATATTTTTATTTAATTTTTATATTTAATTATTGATAATTTAATAACTATATATTATATTTAATTTTTTATGTTTTATAAAAATAGACATATAAAAATCTAATTTGGTATTTATACATCTAAAATCAATTTTGATTCAAACTATCCAAATAACAAATAATATTGAGAATCACTTTTACATTAATTTATTCAAACATGAATCAATTTTACATTTAACTTACGTTTAACCAAAATCAATTCTGTCAAGCTCAATTTTATCAAAATCAATTCTTTTCATCTTAAAACCAAACACATACTTATAAGATTTCACCCAATTCATAACTTGAATGTCAAAATATTAATTTTTTTCATGTGCCTTCATTGATCACCCCGAAGAACTATCACCACCGCATAAAAATCCTTTTCACAATCATCATCTTCAACCTCTAATCAATTCTCCATTTCAATACATAATAAAATTCAACAGTAAATTTTAAAAGATTGTATTCACTAAAATATTATTGATCGATCTAATTTTATCAAAATATTAAAGCGGTGTAATTTGATCTATATACTTTCTAAACAATAAAAGTTTAAAGTATATAAAAACGTAAGAGTTTAATTAATATGGACTGACAATATAAAATAATTTTACTAAATCATCTAATAAAAATATATTAATTTGTCGTATACCGTTAACTTAAAATTTACAATCTAATAAACATATAACAATTAAATTCAAAACCGAATTAGAAATACTTGTAATTAGATAAAATTGGCGAGGACTAAAATGAAATATCGTTGACACTAAAATATCTAATATGTAATTAACACTAAAATTGGTGACCCCATTCATTCCACGCATGTTTCCCTTAAACCCTTCTTCTTCTTACAGTTTCTCTTCTCTTCTTCACCAGCCGCTTCATTTCTCAACAACGCCGCAATTTCACGTCAACATACAATCAAGCATGTCATGTGCAGATAGATTCCCTGTAAGTTCTTCTTCTCTTTCTTCTTCTTCTTCAAAATTTGTTACCAACACCGTCACAGAACCTCTCTCGGGTCACTTTTCACCGCTTAATACAAGATGGGTTTGCCCCCCTCTTACTTGTTTCCGTTCAAATACTCCACCTTTACCAAGAAAAGTTTCGTCCTTTACACACAAGAAGACGAACAACAAAAATTATGTGAGTGATTTAAATTCGTTTTTGAAGACTTTGAAATCATCTGATGATGTTGAAGGTGTCCTTAATTCCTTTTATGGGAATCTTGGTCCAAGGGGCATCACTGTTCTTCTTCGTGAACAGAGAAATTGGGAACGTCTTGTTAGGGTATTTAAGTGGTTTAAATCTCAGGAAGATTATGTTCATAATGTAATTCATTATAATGTTGTGCTTAGGGCTCTTATTAGAGCTCAACAATGGGACCAATTGAGGCTTTATTGGATAGACATGGCAAACAACAATGTTTTGCCTACGGATAATACTTACGGCATGCTTGTTGATTGTTATGCCAAAGCAGGTCTTGCCAAAGAGGCTCTTTTGTGGATTAAGCATATGAGAATGAGAGGCCTTTTTCCTAACGAGGTTACCATGGGTACTGTTGTTACGGTTTTGAAGGATGTTGGTGAGTTCGATAGGGCTGATAGGTTTTACAAGAATTGGCTTGGTGGGAAGGTTGACTTGGATGATCTTGATTTTGATTATTCGACTTTGAATACCAATGGTTCGAGATCATCGTCGCCCCTTAGTTTCAAGCAGTTTCTTTCAACTGAGCTTTTTAAGACTGGCGCAGGAATTCGGGATTCTAATTCTACGTCGTCGTTGGATATGGAGAACACTCCTCAGAAACCTCAGCTCTCTACCACTTACAATGCCCTTATAGATTTTTATGGCAAGGCCGGACGGCTAAAAGACGCTGCTGGCGTCTTTGCTGATATGATGAAATCTGGAGTGGCAATGAAGACTGACACTTTTAATACTATGATATTTATTAGTGGAAGTCATGGCAATTTGGTTGAAGCCGAAGCGTTGCTTGTTAAAATGGATGAGAAGGGTGTATCCCCTGATACAGTAACTTACAACATTTTCGTGACTTTGTATGCTAATGCGGGGAATATGGATGCTGCTCTTTCTTATTATAGAAGGGTTAGAGAGGCTGGGCTCTTTCCGGATGCCGCAACTTATAGCGTTCTTCTTCGTGGGTTATGCGCAGAGAATATGGTTCAGGCTGTGGAAAGTGTGATTGATGAAATGGAGAAATCTTCTGTATCTGTTGAGGAACATTCCCTTCCTGGTATTGTCAAGATGTATATTCATGAAGGAGATCTTGATAAAGCAAATGACTTGCTTCAGAAGTTTCAAATGAACAGGGAACTCTCATCGGATATATGTGCTGCAATTATTGATGCTTTTGGCGAGAACGGGTTTTGGGCTGAAGCGGAGACTATGTTTTATAGGCCAAGGCACATGGCACGACAAGCGAGGGATATATTAGAGTTTAATGTCTTGATCAAAGCATACGGAAAAGCAGAACTTTATGACAAGGCTGTTTTTCTTTTCGAAGAAATGAAAAATCAAGGAATTGGCGCTGATCAATGTACATACAATTCTCTTATTCAAATGTTATCTGGTGCAAAGTTAGTGGACCAGGCAAGGGACCTTATAGTTGAAATGCAGGAAATGGGGTTTAAGCCAGACTGTCAAACTTTTTCTGCTGTTATTGGAAGCTATGCCCGTCTTGGTCAGCTCACCGATGCAGTCGACGTGTACGAGGAAATGTTAAAAACTGGTGTAAAACCAAATGAGGTTGTGTATGGTTCTCTAATAAACGGATTTGCAAAACATGGCAGTCTTGATGAGGCGCTTCATTACTTCGACTTGATGAAAGAATCAGGATTTTCAGCAAATTTAATTGTGTTATCAACCTTACTAAAGTCCTACGGTAAGGCTGGCGACATGGAAGGAGTAAATTCCATCTACAAGCAGATGCAGAACATTGAAGGTGGTCTCGATAGAGTTGCATGTAATACTATGATTACTATCTATAAACACTGCAACAGGGATGTTGATATGAGATTCGAGTTCGGCGCAGAAGAATATTCTGATGCTGAAAGTGAGTATTCTGAATATGACATTGGAAGTGAAACTGAATATGACTCTAATTCTGATTGAGATTCTCCAGGTTTGTAAAATCCCGAGTTTGGTTTCTTCATACATCAAAACTTGTATATATTGTAGTAGTCATCTATTCATATAAAGTGAAATGTGTTAATAATGAAAAAGTATTATTTCAAATTTTTTTTTTCTTTTATAAGCCAGGGAAAACTTGGAATTAAAAAGTTTTGATGCCAATATGCCAACAAGCTACGAAGTTGTTACACCAAATCAATCATGAGACAAATCTTCCAATGCTAAAAAAGTAAAAAATTAAACCACTTCTAAGCTAAAAATTTAGTCAAATCTAAAGCATCTAAATTTCTAAGAATATTACCTTTAAAAGGGATAACATCTCTGCAATACTAAATGGACTAACAAAATGCAATACCAAAAAGAAATTTATGCCTTGAAATCTCTCCACCAAAGAACCTGCGGGGGATAAAACATCCACTCCAATCACATACAAAAATTGTTCCAAATGTGATTAGTAAAAGTGTAAGAACCAAATAAATACTCCACATCTTCATCTTCCTCTTCCAAGAAGCAAAAGGGACAAATTACATTGTGAGTCCCTTAGAAATTCCACGCTTTGCCAACTCCAATCTAGTAGGTAACTTATTAAGGATTAATCGCCAATTAAAAATAAGGATTTTGTATGAAACTTTAGACTTCCATAAACAAGCTAAAGCATTAACCTTTTTAGGATTCCAAAAAGCCACTGAAATGCAAGACTCATAAATCCTCCTATAAGCATTTTTTATACCGAAAAACCAAATTTATCCCTCCAACAAACAAATTGATCCTGTTCAAGAGAGTTGGGCTTCACACCATGCAAAATTTGCACCAAATCCTCAAATTCGCTTTATTAAGGCCAAGATTTCAAACCCAACAGTCATCGATCAAAACACTCGCATCACCTACTTTAAGGCCACACACATCAGATCACATAACTGAAACAAAGATAGGGATAAGAATAAGACATCAAAAGAAGAAGATCCAGATTGAGCACATAACTGAAACAAAGATAGGGATAAGAATAAGACATCAAAAGAAGAAGATCCAGATTGAGCACATAACTGAAACAAAGATAGGGATAAGAATAAGACATCAAAAGAAGAAGATCCAGATTGAGCAAATTCGACAGGATCAAAATTCTAATTGCTACTATCAGATTAAAAAATAATAGGGAAAGGAAACATTAAAAAAGATGAGTAACAATTAGAATTAATGCGGTCTAAGCCATGCATTCATCTTTTTCAAACGCGCATAAAGATTCACATACATGAATATAGGCATACAGGATCATGCTCTATGTCTAAAATGTATTTTAAGTCATTTTTGATGCATTAGGTCGACTCACAATCAAGAAAAATGATGTTTGAAACATTACGGCATGTTTGCGTCGACCTAGGACAACTAGAGGTCGTAGCACACTGAAGTGAAAAAGCTTGAAAATGTTTCTGCCATGTATGCGTCGACGCATGGCTCCTGTGTAGGTCGACGCATACTGTAAGAAACAAATCTGAAACATTTTGGCTTGCATGCGTCGACGCATGACCTTGCTATAGGTTGACGCACAAACTGCTTTTTTGTATAGTTTTGCATTCTGTTATGTTCAGATCGACTCACAGCTTCTGTATGTCGACCTCCCGCGCGTTTTTACTCATTTTTCTGCACTTTTGTGTATAGTTTTGCATTCTGTTATGTTCAGATCGACTCACAGCTTTTGTATGTCGACCTCTCGTGCGTTTTTACTCATTTTTCTGCATTTTTGTGTTCCCAAAGTCTATTTTTTCTGTTATTCTTTCATGCTCATATATATTCTCATATGCATCATTTTCAAACTAACAAGAAAATTGAAAATATACTTTGAATTTCTCTTCATCTTCACTCTCACAATTGCATTCTTCAATAATCACACATAATCATCTTTATTGATTTGTATTTTCAAGAGTAATAACGTCAAAATGTAGGATTTGTAAATCGAGTTTGGGTAGAGGGCCAGTGAGATTTTCTTGAATAAAACCATTGGGTTTTTTCCTCCAAGATCTTGAGGGATTTGGGGGGGGGGGGGGGGGTTTACACAAATCTTTGCATCACAGATTCACCCGAGTGAAAGACTTAAAGAACGGAAGGTTCAGTCAAGTGAGTAATGGTAACCAGAGGATTATGTTGAAAGATTTAGGGTCAAACAACTTGTGATCGAAATCAGCCGAGTGAAAGACTTGAAGAACATAAGGTTATATCAAGTGAGTAGCGATAACCGGAGGTTTGTTCAAAGTGTTTGATGTACTTGATTCAGCTGGAAGTAAGGGAAGATAAGTGGTTAGAGTCAACTTCTACAATTGGGTCAGACTGTTGGTTAGCTAGGACTTCTCTTGTATTGAATTTTGCAAACATATATTATACATGTCTCAATTTTAGTTTTAGAATTGGGGGCAGACGTACCCGAAGCAAGGACAAAAGAGGAACTTCCTAAACAAATCGAGTGTCATTCTATCTTGTTGCAGTGAAAATCGGATATCAAGCTATTAACTAACTTAAATCGCAAATCTTTAAATATTTACCACCGATGTTTGATTTATCCAAAGGAAAGGATAAAGATTGAAGAAAATCATAAGTGTGCTGCGTAACAACAAAGCTAAGAGATCGGGGAGTTCCGAGGTTGGTTATACTAAGGAAAGGTATTAGCACCCTAAGTATCTGTAGTACTCTACAGGAGTCTCTTGTTTGGTAGTTGTGTTATTGTCAATATTTGTTTGCTAATGATTATGTGCTGAGGTAAGGATTGCTAAAGATATTAGCACCCTAAGTATCTGTAGTACTCTACAGGAGCCTCTTACTTGGTAGTTGTGTTATTGTCAATGTTTGTTTACTAATGGTTATGTGCTAAGGTAAGGATTGCTAAAGGTAAAGACCTATGGGTTTGTACACTAAGTATGCTCACCAGAACATTGCATCTCGTGCCTACGTATCCTAACAAGGATGAAATCAGAGCAACCGTAGTTCTCCTAACTAGGGAGATAACTCTTAACTATGGTCAAGGCTCAAGGGGAATAAGTATCTATAACAATGATACTTATATAGAGTTAACAAACTCTCTAAGTCTATGTTGAAAGACTCATTGGGGGTTTGATTTTAACAAAATCCAAAAGGGGAAAAGTGAGTACCCATAACAATGGTACACACATAAAGCTAACAAACTCTAAGCCTAAGTTCTAAGTTATAGGATTCTTAACAAGGTGTGCTAAAGATCTTGACTTGACAAAGTCAAAGGGATAAGGTTCCTTAAAAGTTCTAATGACTCTAACAAGGTCAAAGGGAGATTAAAACAAATGAGCTATCTATGACATTGAGTCAATAGAGAGACTTTCCTTTGGACTTAGAGACACAAGGTAACTCTTGAGGATGAGAGCTAACAAGCTACATCACTTGGGGAAACTTAACAAAGTTTAAGCATATATATTCATTCAAACATGATGAAGATGTA